ACCTCCCAAGGGCAATTGTCTGCTCTGATGCCACAGGCAGCTTTTATGAGCCTCCAAACACAGAATTTTCTCAAGCCTGTGTCGACCACCAATGCCCTAGGTCCCTCAAACTGCAGAGGAACCCTATCAAGCTTTCTGAATGGTCTTAAAACGTCTTTCCCAAGGCTTGATGGATCACTCCTATCCCTTGCCATTGGAGATAGGGTAGGTGTGAAATTCACAGTATACCAAATTCTGTTAAAGACATCTTTAATCCTTTTTGTCGGCACCCCTTCAGGTCTCCTCCCACTGTGGGAGTTTTTCTGTCCTTTCAATAAATCCTGCTTTCTTTAAAAAAAAAAAAAAGAAGAAGAAGAAAAAGAAATCTTTTTGTCATCTCCAGTTTCCACTTTCTTTCTTGGAATTTCTAGTTTTCGTCTGTTGTTTTGTTTGTTTTGACAGACTGGCAGAGAATGGGCAGCTAATAATAGCAAAGCTAGTCCCTACCACCTGCTTTATAAATTCTGCCTAGAAGGCTCATCACCTGGCTTTGGAATGTGGAGATTACCACATACCTTGGAGTCCCAGACAAAATTGAGTCAAAAGCAATCCTATTTTAAATCCTGTTATACATGTAACACTGGGTATTGTTTTTCACCTTTCATATTGGCAAAGTGCCAAAAGAATTATAATATCTTTCCTTCGCAAGGGTGTTAAGAAAGCATTCTGGCATATTGTTGTTGAAGGCCAATTTTGCACAATTGCGTGAAGCCAAAAGTTTTAAAATGAACATTCTCTTTGATCTAGTAATTTCTCTTTTTAGAATTTCCCCCCCCAAAATACCAAAACACTACCAAAATTGTATACATAAGGTTATTACAGCATGGTCTATAATAACAGATTTACAAATAACTCGACTGAGCAACAATAGAGAATTCATTATGGTGAGCCTATTCATAGAAAAACCATAGATATAATTTGTGAATGCCAAGATAAACAAGAATTCTAGTTGGCATTGCTCTCTCTTCTTGGTCAATTATGGAGCTTATCCATTCTGTGTGCCTGTTGACTAACAGATGAGAACAGTTAGAAATAGTTCTATTGTAAACGTTAGTAACTCCTCAAGTTAAGATTGAATCTAATTTACTCTGAAATATGTGTAGACACCTTAATTTTGCTCATGGCAGTGAGATACATGCTCAAGAGGTGTTTGTTGAGGGACTGAACATTTGCAAGGAAATCCCAGCTCCATGCAGTGACCTCAATGTTTCTTTGTCCCATTTCCACCATTATCACTGACAAAATAAGATCCTAATAAAATAACCTGTGTGTATATGAAAGTCCTTTGTAAACAATGAATCATTCTAATATGCTTATTAATAAAATTGTATTAGAGAACATTGGTTTTGGTACTGGCAAAATCTATGGTATTGTTGCCCTTTTAGAAATGCTCCAAGCCATACAGAAGCTAAATTGATGAGGAAGCTAATATTAACAAGTCCCTGGCCGGGCTCGGTGGCTCAGCCTGTAATCCCAGCACTTTGGGAGGCCGAGGTGAGTGGACTGCCTGAGCCCGTGGGTTCAAGACCAGACCGGGCAACTTGACGAAACCTCATCTCTACAATAAATCAAAAATTAGCTCGTGCGTGGTAGCGCGTGCCTGTAGTTCCAGCTACTTGGAGGACTGAGGTGGGAGGATTGCCAGAGTCCAGCAGGTCAACACTGGGTGGGAGAGAGGAGGTCATGAGTGTGCCACTGCACTGCAACCTGGGCGACGGAAAGAGATTCCAACTAAAAAAAAAAAAAGTCCCTTGAGGAATTCGGTGGGTTTCCTGATGTGGGGAAGTTCGCTGGTGATTTATCACCTTATGATTAGAATCCGATAAGCAAAAACCCAATCTGTTCATCAAAATGAGATAGCTTTCATGCACACACACACTTGTGTATATGTGTGTCTGTGTGTGTCATTTACATCAACAACCAGATCTGGGACTAGGCTGCAGGCTTCTACTATCTCTTGATTTTAAAATAAGAGAGATTAAAAACTGAGGTGCTAATAACTTTATCCAAATGGAAAAAAAAAAAAAAAAAAAAAACCAACCCCAGTGGATGCAGGCCTGGATAATGCAGAAAGAATGCTTAGTACCTATACTATTCTGTATTTTTTCAATTTTCCAAATGCTTACAAAACACGGATTCTCAAACTTTCTTAGGCATAGGATCACCCATGGGACTAGTTAATAATAGAAATTACTGAACCCCACCTTCAGACATTCTAATTTAAGAGGCCAGATGCTTATATTTGTTTTAAATTAGGGTTTCAGGAAAGTCTGAGGCAGGTAGTCTGATGACCAACTTTTGAGAGATTTTGGTAAACTCACCAGCATAAAGGTAAAAATACCAAGGTTCTCCATAACCACGGGCTTCACATCTGCCTCCATAATCACGGGCTTCACATCTGCCAATTCAGCCAACTGCAAATTGGTAATATTCAGAAAAATATACAACATAACAATAAAGTAAAACAATTTTTAAAGAGAAATATAGTGTAACAACGATTTATGTAGTATCTACATTGTATTAGGTAATATAAGAAATCTAGAAATGATTTAAAGTATATGGGAGGACATACATAGGTTATATGCTAAAAATATAGCATTTTATATAAGGGACTTGACCTATAGTGTTTTTGGTATCTGTGGGGATCCTGAAACCAATCACTTGAGGATACTCTAGGAAGGACTGTACTAGCTGTGTAATTTCTGAACCTCAGTTTCCTACAAATAATTATCATAGAAATATCCTAAGAAAAGTGCAAATAAAAAGCTGTGAGGAATTGAAGAAAAAAATCATTTTTAGTAGGCAGGAGGATAGTCAGGGTCTTCTAGTTTTTTCACAGCCCTTTATTTACACTTTCCTCCTGATTTCCCCACATTAGCCATTTATAGTCTCATCATATTAACCCTACATATACTCCTAACTAATAGGATCACTGTTATTTCATCCTGTATCCTCCACTGTACCTAACACAACTCTTGCAATGAACAATAGACGTTATTATATAGTTTGTACTTAAATACTTATATAGAGCTTCAAATTTACTTTTCAGTTCTTTTTCTTACTTCACTTTTTATTTTATTGTTTTTGTTTCACAAATCACTCATTATTGAATACACTTATGGAGTACAATGCAATGTTTTGACACATGTATAATGTGGAATGATTAAATCAAGCTAATTAACTTATCGGGGCATGACTTTTTTTGGTTAGTCTTTTGAAATTTCTTATTTTGAAACATGCATTTGAAATTTACTTTCTTAGTTTTTATTTTTATCTTTTTTAGCCAGGTGTGGTGTGCATGCCTGTAGTTTCAGCTACTTGGAAGGTCTTAGTTATTTTTAAAATATACAGTATGATATTATTATATAATCACTGCTGTGCAATAAATCTCAAAACCTCTTCTTTCATCTATCAGAAGTTTTTTACCCTTTGGTTGGCAAGTCCCTATTCCCTCCCTCTTCATTCCCCCAGCCTCTGGTAACCATCATTCTACTTTCTGCTTCTGTAAGTTGAACTATTTTGAATTCCACATATAAGTGAGATAATGTGACATTTGTTTTTCTGTGTCCAGCTTATTTCACTTAGCATACTGTCCTCATCCATGTTGTCGTAAATGACAGGATTTCCCTCTTTTAAAGACTATATATGCCACATTTTCATGGACGATTTTCTTTAATCACTCATTGATGGACTTAGATTGAGCCCATATCTTGGCTATGGTGAATAATGCAGTGAGCATGGGACTGCTGATATCCCTTTGCCATACTGATTTAGTTTCCTTTGGACATATGCCCAGAAGTGGGATTACTGGATCATACAGCAGTTTTATTTGTAGTTTTTAAAAGGAATCTCTATGCCATTTTTCCACAATGCTATACTAATTTACAATCAACAATGTACAAGGGTTCCCTTTTCTCTGCATTTTTTCCAACACTTATCTTTCATCTTTTTAATAACAGCCATTCTAACAGATGTGCATCTATCTTTCATTGTGGTTTTAATTTGCATTTCCTTAATGATTAGTGATACTGAGAATTTTTCATTTTTTTCATGAACTTGTTAGCCCTTTGTTGTTTTTTTCTTTTTTTCCTTTTATATAGCCTGAGTCATTAGCTGGGTGACCTTGAATTTCATACTGTAGAATTCTCATCTCGATAATGGAGAAAATAAAATCTAATTTACATATATTTTGTGAAAATTCAATGGATTTTGTGTATATCACTAGAAACAGCGTTTCATAGAGAAACTTTCAATAAGTAATGCTATTATCATTACTATTTTTATTTTTATTGGTAGTATGGCTGAAAAAGTCTCATGTAAAAATAGAAGATGTGCTCAAAGGCTATCATTTTCTATGTATATAATAAACATGTATATAATAAATATATGTATATTGTTTTATTTTTATTTCAATAGCTTTGCGGGGGGCGGTCCAAACAGTTTTTGGTTACACAACTGCACTGCATATGGCAAAGAAGTCTGGCTTTTGCCCACATTTTAATCGGATCATTTGTTTTCTTGCTATTGAATTATCTGTGTTCCTCATATATTTTGGTTTTTAACCCCTTATCAGACATATGGTGGGCAACTATTTTCTCCCATCCTGCGGGTTGTCTCATCACTTTGTCTATTGTTTCTTTTGCTGTGCAGAAGCTTTTTCGTTTGATGCCATTCCAACTGTCTATTTCTGCCACCTGTGCTTTCAGGGTCATACCTTTAAAAATCATGACTCAGATCAACGTCGCGAAGCTTCTCCACTAAGAGAAATCTCCCCGGCCGCACCTGCGCGGATCGCGTCAGCGGCCCGCGGACATGACCACCGGAACACAAACCGCGAGGCCGCAGTTTCCCCTGATTCGGTCAGGACTCTCCGCGCAAGGAACACAACTTCCGGTTCGACTTAGCGGCGACGCGAGCGAAGGCTCGCCGAGCTTCCGGAGCGCCGCTCCCTCCGCGAGTAGAGGAAGCCGTCGCCGCGGTCACAGCGGGGAGCCCGGCCTTGCCGGACGCGCGCGAGCATGTGGACGCTGCTGGCCCGCGCCGGGGCGCCGCTCCTGCGGGTGCCTTTGTCAGGTAAGCAGTTCCCTCTGGTCCCTGAAGAAGACTCCGCCCTTTCCTCTTTCCTCGCCCACGCCCGAGTGCGGTAGTTCCCAGACCCCAGGGCTGGACCTCAGCTGGTGCTTGCAGTAGTGCGGGTAGGGGCTGCGTGGTCCTGCCGCCAACCTGCGCCGCGGGCACCCGAGCAGAAGGGGCGCGGCCGCGTCGGGGGATTCGGCGGCGCAAGACTCTGGCTGGCCTCGTTGGGGACCTGAGTCTGGGAGCCCCGCTTGTGGAACCCGCGTCCCACGTCTTGAGACGCCTCCGTTAGGAGTTGAGTACCTTCGGCCCAGACTGCCTCAGGCCCTGGCCTTGTCACCTTGGGGGTTTAACTCGGTTTGTCTCTGCAGATTCTTGGGCAGCGCTGCCCTCCGGTGCTGGCCTGAAGACGCTGCTCCCGGTGCCAACTTTTGAAGGTGAGGCCTTGTCTGTCTCCCTCCCCCCCCTTCCTTTTCTCTGATGGAATTTAGCAGAAGGCCGGAGAAGACATAGGAGTGTTCTCGTGCATCCTGGCCCCACTCACTGTCGACCAGATTGGAGTGGGGTGGCAAGGTCACTGCTTCCTTTAGCCTCAGCCACCCAAATAGCTGGGACTACAGGTACGTGCCACCACACCCGGCTAATTTTTCAATTTTTTTTTTTGGTAGAGTCGAGGGTCTTGCTGTTTTTCCCAGGCTGGTATGAACTCCTGGGTTCAAGTCATCCTCCTGCCTCGGGCTCCTAAAGTGCTGGGATTACAGGCATGAGCCACTACACTTGGCCCCATTCACGCTTCCAATAAATATGTATTGAGGGCCTACTAAATTGCCAAGTAGTGATGTGAGCACTAGAGATAATTTTATAAAATAAAATAAAATAAAAAAGGTCTCTGCTCTTATGGAGCAAACGGCTGATGGGATCCCCCCCTAAGGGCCTGCCACTGGTGTGGGCCCATGATCCACTCCATCAGGGGTAATTGTCCTCAAAATCTGGACTTTTGTTGTTCTCTCCAAATAAGGTTATGTATATGCAGTCACTTAACAATATTATGTGAAAATGTTTGATTTATTTAATGTAAATTTAAGGTAAGCCACAATTTTGTAAACCCACCATTCTTTTAATATACTGGAAACCTCAAAAAAATGAATGAAGCCTAGACATCTGAGGGTCTTGTCTTCTACATGTAATTCCTAAACTACCACATGTTCTGGAAGTACATTTTTATTTATTTTATTTATTTATTTTCCTGAGTTGGAGTCTCACTCTGTCACCCAGACTGGAGTGCAGTGGCACGCTCCCGGTCACCGCAGCCTCGACCTGCTGGGCTCTGGCGATCCTTCCACCTCAGCCTTCCAAGTAGCTGGAACTACAGGCTACCACCCGGCTAATTTTTTGATTTGTTGTAGAGATGAGGTCTTGCCAAGTTGCCCAGGCGGGTCTCGAACCCATGGACTCAGGCAATCCACTCACCTCAGCCTCCCAAAGCACAGGATTACAGGCTGAGCCACCGAGCCAGGCTGGAAGTACTTTTTAACTTGTAGATGAGAAAGCATTAAAAAATTTCTCTGTAGCTGCATAGAGAAGCTGGGAGACAGCGGTTTCTAAAATTCCAATAGTAATAATTTGATATTTCCTTGAAGTCTCCCATATTTTGGAGAAAAAAATTCCAAATAGTCAACTAAAGTTGATAAAGAAAGTGCCAGGTCTGGCCTGAAGTTGTGCCCACCCACCCTCACCCAGCACACTTGCATACTGTAGGATCTGTACAGGTCTCAGCATGAAAAGCCTTTGCATATATATACAAGAGCAGTGACCACAGAATTCCTAGCTTGTAAGTTTCTTAACAAAATGTGGCAGAGCTGGAGAACTTAGGTATTTTCATATTACAATGTGGTACAATACAGTATTCTTTCCACTACCCCCATTAACATCCAGAGAGGCAGTTAATTACTTTAAGCGTCATGGTGTCTGGCTTTGCTGTATAACTAGAAGGACTTGACTAAATCAAAATGTTTCTAGGCGTCAAGTTTTTCTTTTATCAAACAGAGATTAAAAATACTACTTACCTAAATGATGTATTTCTTGACCTGGGTGATATGTGTCCACGTATCCCCTTTCTGATAATTCACTGAGATGTGTATTTTTTATTTGACCCTTTGATGTATATGTTAAACTTGAAAGTTCAAATTTTTAAAAAGCCCTGAATAAATACCAAGGCTATAAAGTTGTTTTAAAGATTCAATGCAATAATGATTTCCAGACAGCCCCTGTTACAGTGTTGAGCACACAGCCAGTGTTTAATTTAAAGTGCATTTTTTTGAAAGTAAAAACTTTACTGGCTTCAAAGGTTTAGGAACGTTTGCATTAGTTATTGTCACAAGAAGAATATGATATACCTTTGGAATTATGTAAGACTTTCACCTGATTATTATAAATCTTTCTAGGAAGACGATAGATCTTTTGTGTGGCTTCACTCATTCTTGGTTGTCTGTGCCCCCTTTAGACGTTTCCATTCCTGAAAAGCCCAAGCTTAGATTTGTTGAAAGAGTACCACTTGTGCCCAAAGTAAGACGAGAACCTAAAAACTTGCGTGACATACGGGGACCTTCCACTGAAGCTACTGAGTTCACCGAAGGCAATTTTGCAATCTTGGTGAGTTCAGCATCAAGCAACTGCAGTGTGGAAGCTAGGGATTAACAAAATCTCTTACTTCTTGAGTTAATTCTAGTCTCTTTCTCTAGAAGTTTTAATAGAACTGCCATTACTAAGTTGTATGCACATTAGTTTAAACGGTTGCTCTTTAACTGATTTGCAGAGGCTACTGGGTACCTGGTAACTATTTGAGTTATATGCCTTTTTAAAAATGTAGAATGAGAATAATGTAAAAGCAGGAAAAGGAAGAGGCTACCTAATTTGTCCCCAAATCAGGCCATGAGACCTTTCCAAGCCTCTGGCAAAAATAAAACTATCCATAACTTAGCATATGGTACACCTGTTTCTCTACTTGGTGAGTGGTGCCATGAAGGCTTAATGTCAGTAACTACACAAATGGGTGTGCACTGAGATTGATTTCTGTCAGGCAGCCAAGGTAATTGTTCTAAAGTTTTCTTCCTGCAGCCTGCATGGTCAGCCCCTGCTGACCTCTTAGAACCTCTCGTCTACTAACTACTCATCCTACTCCGGCCACACTGCCTTTTGCTCAAATTCACCAAGCCCTCTGCTGTGTCACAGCCTCCACAAAAAACCATTCCCCTGCCTGGAACACTCTTGTTCCCCTTGGCTAGTTCTTATTGTTCTGGCCTTAGTTTTAAACATCATCTCCTCAAACAGTTCTTCCCTGGTTCTTCATTGAAATGGGTGTGGCCATGTGCTATGGCTATGCCATGCTTCCAGGCTTTGGCCCCCTCCCCCACCTTGGGGAGGCGAATCTTCTCTCTCCCTTTCCTCTCTCTAATTTACTTCTAAATAAACTTTTCTTTAAAAAAGAAAAAAGAAAGAAGAAATGGGTCTACCCTGGCTCTTCTTTAGGGCTGTATCCTAGACTTTTCCTCCATGGTACTTACTCAAAAATTTATATTCACTTCAAGTGTATAATTGAGTGTATAACAGTTACAGTGAGAGATATAACAGTAATCCATACATCCCTTGTGTTTCTGATTCTTCCGTTTGCTCTTAGGCACTGGGTGGTGGCTATCTCCACTGGGGCCATTTTGAAATGATGCGTCTGACAATCAACCGCTCTATGGACCCCAAGAACATGTTTGCCATATGGCGAGTACCAGCGCCTTTCAAGCCCATCACGCGCAAGAGCATCGGGCAGCGCATGGGAGGAGGAAAAGGTGCCATTGATCACTACGTGACACCCGTGAAGGCTGGTCGCCTTGTAGTAGAGATGGGTGGGCGCTGTGAATTCAAAGAGGTGCAGGGCTTCCTTGACCAAGTTGCCCACAAGCTACCCTTCCCCGCAAAGGCCGTGAGCCGGGAAATTCTAGAGAAGATGCGGAAAGTTCAAGAGGAGCGAGAACGCAACAATCAGAACCCCTGGACCTTTGAGCGCATAGCCACTGCCAACATGCTGGGGATACGGAAAGTACTGAGCCCCTATGACTTGACCCAGAAGGGGCGATACTGGGGCAAGTTCTATATGCCTGGGCGTGTGTAGTGAGTGTAAGAGATAAATGTGCAGAGGCAGATGAGAGAAAGGATCTGCATTTCGCTCCCCTCAGCCTGCCTGCCCTTAAAGTCTGGGTAGCTCTTATGGCATGACGAAGGAGCAGCATAGCAGCTGATGACTTCTGACAAACTGTTATTTGTTGGTTTTTAAAAATATGTTTATATTAAAGTGTGAGAATCAACTTTAACTTCTCAGTGGTCATTCTTACTTAGTCCCTTAAAAGATTAGGAAATAGGCCTGAAATAGACCATTTATTAAATGACTGTTAAGAGCTCTTGGTTTTCAGGGGTTGTGAGATGAATGTCCTCAGGGCTGAAGGGAATGTTTGCTGCCCCACTTCCCCCACCACCCAAGCAAGCCTGACTTAATGCCTGTACTGCCTTTTACATGCAAACACTTCAGGAGACAGTTTCTGAGACATTTTACTAGTTACAGACACCAACCTCTTTAGAATAACTGAGAAAAAAAAACAATTCATACGTTAATGGATTCAACAGATATTTATTGATGCCCAGCTACCCATCATTTCTCAAATCTTGGAAGGGTGAGTGTTGGACAGTATGGCAAGGAACGTGCCTGTGCCTTTTAACAAAAGGAACTCAGAACAAAAGTTAAAACCCTGTGGCCTTTCCTAAGTCTGAAACTCTCCAAGGAGGAAGAGTGTTTGGCTCTATACTTGTGTCCCTGCAGAATCTAGTACAGTGCCATGTGCCACGCAGCACAAAGATTATTACTGCTTGGTAAGTGAGGGCCCCATGTGACTCATCCCTATGGCTTCAGCTTCCTGTTTGCCTTTAACAGGATTAATCTGTTTTTCAGAGCTAGGCAGCTGTAGTCTTCTATCCTCTGCTAAAATGAAAGGAAATACACATTGATAGTAAAATTAAACCATTTGCTTTTGAAAGTAGGCAGAAAACAGTACAATGACTAAAATATTTTTATCCTACCTTCTTATTCAGCAAAGAAATAATTTAATTTTCTTGTATGCTGTGATTTTTAATGTATTTTTAGTGAGCTTCTTGTAAGAAATTATAGCATTAGCACTCCTATTCACATAGCTAGTTTTAAAGATGAACATAACTGGACGTTGAATGAAATTGGGGGCAATTTGCTGAACATACATCACGAGCTAGCACTGCAAATGGGGAAGAAGGGAAGTGATCACTTCATTTCATCCTCACCTAACAATTTCATCTGGTCTTTGTTGTGGTTCACAGTGTTCTACTGATGGCTTGGGAGTTCAACCATAGTATAAACCTGTTTCTTTTGTTCTGGAGTCTGTATTTAGTTACTGAACCACAATCCTGGGGTCAGCTATCTTCTCCACAGAGGGAGAGGCTGTTGATAAATGGAACTCCCCCATCACCACCCATAGCAAAGCACTTCAAAATATATGTTGGGGGGTGGGGGCTATGTAGGATTTTTGCATAAGTGTGAAAGCCTGTCCCTAAGCAGCTTTACACAGCCTGTGATGGTAACAAGTCACATTCCTACTGATGCCTTAAAGAGTCTAGGAAACCCAAAGACTCATCCATGAGTGAAAGCAGAGCTCAGTTATAGGAATTAAGTCAACAGATTCTTGAGCACCTGAAGTGGCAGGCACTGTGCTAGAAAGTGGAGACAGCAGTAAGCAAGACAGGTGCCTATCCTTAGATAACCTTCACTTTTAAGACCTACTGGACCCAGAAGAAGGAAGTCAATGTTGGGAGGTCAAAGGTGAGACTTCAAAGAGCCTGAAGAGAAATGACAAGTGCTCTGACCTTAACCAACTCACAGCAGGTCAAGTAAGATCCTGTTGAGTTGGGTATGCTACGATACCTGCCTCTTGGCAGCCACACCACCGGGAGCAGGCTCTTTTTATTGTATTTTATTTTTTTATTTTTTGAGTTGGAGTCTCACTCTGTCGCCCAGACTGGAGTGCAGTGGCTGCTCCCAGCCACTGCAGCCTCAACCCGCTGGGCCCCAGCAATCCTTCCACCTCAGCCTTCCGAGTTGCTGGAATTACAGGCACGCGCTACCATGCCTGGCTGATTTTTTATTTATTTATTTATTGTAGAGATGAGGTTTCGCCAAGTTGCCCAGGCGGGTCTCAAACCCGCAGAGTCAGGTAATCCACTCACCTCAGCCTCCCAAAGCACGGGATTACAGGCTGGGCCACCGAGCCCAGCTGGGAGCAGGCTCTTAAGATTCACTTTCTAAACTGGTATCTGTTATGCTTTCTTCTCTTCCTTTAAATACTGCCTAATCAGCCATGTATCACTGTACTCCTGTTCCTGCACCCATCCTCCACTCCATTCTGTATTTTTGCAAGTTCTTCCTTTGTATTACTTTCTTAATAAGTAGTTGATTGATGCCTTGTGTCATGAGAAGTTTCATAATGGAAAGAGAAGAAGCTGATGAGTCTGCGTGGAAAAGTCATGGCACCGCAAAGGTGGAAGGAGGGTTAGAAATGCCAGTCAGGGATCCATCTGTGAGGGCTGAAGGAGATAACAAGAATGGAGGAAAAAATCATAGATTATATAGCATGGTGTTCATGGCTGGGATCACCACGTCCCTTTTTTGCAGGGGTAAGAAACTAAACACAAGGCTGTGCTAACTTGTCCTAACTTGGGAAGGGAAGAGATTAGGGTTACTGTGTGGCCCTCTTCCAAAAAGTTCAAGTAACATCTAGAACTTGAACTTTTTTGCGAGAACTAATTTGTACTCCTTTCGCCATGCCCGGATACCAAAGTTCAGACTGTTTAGCAGGAGCCTACATCCTTGACCTGAACAAAGCATTCTGCTCCCAGACCAGGCTCTAGGACAGATTGCTGCCTTTTGCCTTCCCCTCCCATCCCCCAGACTACCTGCTACTAACTCATGCACTTACTTTTCTCTTTCTGAAACACCCCTTTCCTTGGTTTTCTCTAACCTTTATTCCAGCACCTAATCCCACCCAGATTAGGACACCTAGTGACAAATAGTGAATGTCCCCAGGACACAGAGGCTAAAAGTAAGTGAAAGCAGGACTGACCCTCCCCACAGATGGCTCACCTTTTTCAGGCAAATATGCCCCCAATGGTAGAAGCTAAGATGATTGCAAGGATAACACAGCAGATCATGATCATGATCTTCTTCTGCTCATCCAGACAAGGAAAGAAAGAACACATGAGAAACATTAACTGTGCAGAGTTCTGCAGGAAAGACGATGGAAGTGGGTGGACATGGAAGGGGGTATGAAGGAGAAGGGAGCACCAGAAGGAAAAAGGAGATGGATCTGGCTTCTGGAACCCAGCTTGTTAATAGGTTATTTCCAGGTGAGAGATAAAAAATAGATCAAAAGGAATCCCAGAGGATTAGGGTTGTCATCCTGCCTTCTAGATAACATCACAAAAGATATTCCCCATTTCCTCCTAGACCCAGGTAATCTCAGTGAGTGAACCAATCTGACACTCAGACATATTTATAGTGCATTCTTTGGGAGTTAAACTGTTCAAAAATGTGAACTTCTGAACCATCTAGTCCAGCATAGGTTTTAAGATGGGGTTAAACCATCTTAAAACCTGAACAAAAATTATTTTAAGTGTTTTGCATGGAGACAGAGCCAGAACTGTTTCACAATCAATATAAAGTCATTTATTTTTAAATAGCAATAAAATAATCAAGTTTACATTTTAAAAAAGACAATACAAATAACAAAAGAGCCTTCACATGTTTATAGTCCAAACTATAAGCCCCCGGCCTCAATCTCAGAGTTTCAGAGGCAGCCAAGGCCTGTGATTAGTCTATCTCCCCTTGTGGCTGGAGTGGATCCACTGTGTGACGTCATAGCCAGAGGACGTCCCCTTGGCTCTGTCTGAGTGCTGGGTGACTGGGAGTAAGCAGCCTTTGCAGAGGAAGGAATAGGCAGTGCCTGGATTAAGGGTGCTCACCCTCTCCCAGAAAGCATTATAGTCAAAGCTGAAATATACCTGGTACCCAAAATCAGGGAGACTGGCAGAGGATTGCCACCGGTTAGCATGGTCGCTACACCTGAAGATAAGAATCAGAAGAGAAAGACAATCTGCCAAGCTTCTTAGACTGGTAGCAGGAAGAGCTTCTCTAGTCTCTGGTCTTCTCCAGCTGACTCAGCCCTGGAGGCAGGACATTGCTTAGGTTGAATGGATAATATCAAATTGCTGTGAGATGTTCTCAGAACAAGCCTAGTGTAGGCAGCAGGTTGGAGGGGAGAGGTGTCAAAACATACCTTCTGTCTGTTAGGCAGAAAAACTTGATAGGGACCAATTTAGTCCTCATTCCAAAGATCTTACTTAACTCTCCCATTTCTCATCCAGGAAACAAATTCCTGGATGATACAGGAAGATCACATTTCTACAGTGATTCATTTGCAGGCAAGCAAATGTCCTTTAATTTTTAGCCTAGCTCATAGTTTTTTTGTTTTGCCTTTTTGCTTTTTTTTTTTTTCTTTCTTGAGGTCATAATGTGTTTCACTTTTATTTCCTACTTCCTGAGACACAAATATATATTCATCTCACACACAAAATTATTAAAATACATCTGGAACACATAAGTGACTGAATACTCACATCAATCTCATGAAATATCTGAAGAGCTTGGGACTCTAGCACCTTGTCCCTGGCCCAATTTAAAATCCCTGATTATTTCTGGTATCAAGGCAATGGCTTCACAAAGCATCACTCTCTAACAGGGAACAGCCTGACATGGAAACAAATTATTTCATACCCTCAGCCTTTGCAAATGGCAACCTCAAATAACTGGATCATCCTGGTCCCTCCTTGAGTAAACGAGAGAATACAACACAGAGTAATCAAAGTTAGCCTCCAAGCTGAACATACTAAGAGCTTGATTTAAGGTTGAATTTCAGACAGGGCAGCTTCTGAGACCAAAATGACATCTACCTGTCTATGTTTTCAGGACATAGAATCAACAAACAATAAAGGCATATTGCCAGGCAGAAGACTCAGATCCTAGCCTTATTGTTGCCACACTTAGAAGAATCCTTCTGCTTTGTTAAAGATACTCCCCTTAAAAATACATTGCAATTTCTGGAAGAATAATTCATGAGGTAGAAAATACAGCACCTTGGGAGGGTCTCAAGTGGGCTTTCCCAGGTACAAAGCATAATTTGACACATCACAGGGAGAAAGGAGAAGCTAGGGTGGTTCATACAGTCCAGGAAGGGAGGTACTTGAGAGCTGGTGGGGCAGGAGGAGGCTTGGAGGAGAACTCAGGGTTGCATCGGGTAGATTCCTCCTGGATAGATTGTTTGCTGAGTCAGGTCCAAGGATGGCTACAAGGAAACAAAGGAACGGTCCCACTGGCTCTCGGGAAGGCCATTCAAAGTTCGTTCCCACATGAAGACAAAGGTGGCCACACAGGCTGGAGTGGAATCAGGTTCTAGAAGAGGCAGGGAAAGGAGGAGCTGATCAGTGCATAGGATGAAGGTACAAGCAATGTGAGGACTCAGCCACACAGCCAAGAAATGGGGAGCAAAACCCAGAAATAACTGCAAAAAGTACAATGAGAAAGTCAACACCTGAATAATCTGACAGACAAACCCAAGACAGAACCTGGACTTACATATCCCACTTTTCAAAGAACAAAAAGCCTTATTGTGAAGGGTAAAACAAAACAAAACAGAAAACCCTCTAGCCCCCCCCCCCTTTTTTTTTTGAGTCAGGGTCTAGCTCTGTCACCTGGGCTGGAGTACAGTGCCCATGGAAGGACTTGGGGAGGTGCTGTTGCTCGTGTGCACAACTGCTCTGCAGGGCCCACGGCAGCACCTCTCCTGGACTCAAGCTTCAGGAGCTTTCCAGTACTCAGATCTTCTCTACAAACTGCCCTCCGCTTTTCTCTCAGAAGGCAGAAAAGCACAATGAAAATAATATGGAAAAGTTCAGGGGTCATATCACAAGTGTTCCACTTTATAAGCTATGCATCCCTGGGCATAGCTTGTAAAGTGGAACACTTGTGATCTGACCAAGAGCTTCCCCATCTGTAAAATGGGGATATTCTCCTAGAGCAACTGCTGGCTCACAACTAGGGAATATAAACACAGCTTGTCTTCCTTCCTGTTCAGAGACCTCTCTCCCTCAGCTGACATGTAGGGAAGGGGGAGTCCAGGTCCTTCCAACAATCAGTCTTGACTTTATTAGAGAATGTAGAATAAAGTACAATAAGCCGCTTAAGAACTGCTTAACAACTTAGCATCTTAAGATTGGATTAATCAACTAAAAACATACTAATATATTACCTCCTCAAAACTGATTCTTTTACATTATGAATTCCAGAGACACCATGAATTTGCAAGATAATTTCCATTCATGGATATGGAAAGGTAACAAGTATCATACTAAAAAGGTATTTTAACATCTTTTCCAGTGAGATAGTTAAGAATCAGAACAAAACCCAAACTTAACAAAAAACAAAAACCTCAAGGACTAGACTTCACATGTCAGAAAAAAGGGGGAAAAAAAGAACCAACCAATTGCCAATGAGAAGTTGATCATCTTATTGTTGCTTATTTCTCAAGATGAAACTGAATGTTCAGTGCTATGAAAAGGTTGTATCATAGCATACATTGGGACTTTTGGACCCAATAGTCACATGGAAGGACTATATGGAAAAGAGAAAGGAAGAAGTAAAAATTAAATGAAGGCTCAGTTCTAGACACCAACATGGTAGTGTGTACCAAGTCTTAAAAATGTGTATATCTATTAGCTTAGTAATCAAACTTCTATACATTTATAATAAAAAGAAAATAAAAATGAGAAAAATATTAAATAAGGTTAGTCACAAGGTTAGTTACAGCAAAATAATAACATAAACCTCCAACACTGGCGGACTGTTAAGTATTTGAGAATATATTCACAAACTTTTTAAAAGTTAGATTCACAAAGAGACTTCAGTGATGTGGAATGATGCTTATGATTTTATAACTGTGTCTGTGTGAACATGCTACAGGCTATCAGCAATTAATATTAACAGTTAATTAGTTTCATTTTTCTCTGTATTTTATAGGCTCTTTTTAAAATACATACTATATTTTATTCAGAAAAAGATTTATTTAAAAGTCCCCAGAGTTTTAATAGTTCCAATAGCTAGATCATTCTTGAGATGCTAACTGTTATTCAATTTGATTCAGTGGTCAGCTCTATCCATTTTAACAAAAACAAACAGCCTATATTGTAAAGCCACTATCCCTTAAGGCAGGGATCCCCAACCCTGTTAGGAACCAGGCTGCACAGCAGAAGGTAAGCAGCAAGTGAACAGAGCTCTGTCTCCTGTCAGGTCAGCGGTGGTGTTAAATCATCATAGGAGCACGAACCCTATTGTGAACTATGCAAGAGAAGGATACAGGCTGCCCACTCCTTGAGGATCTAATGCCTGATGATTCCCCACCCCCGGTCCATCCCTGGAGAAATTACCTTCCACAAAACTGGTCCCTGACGCCAAAAAAGTTGGGGTCTGCTGCTCTAAGATTCTCTAGACTGTAGACAGTGGCAAATGGCTACCTTGTTTTATAAAGGGAAGGTAAGATACAGCAAAGAACCCTCCACAGGTCCACTAGTACCTGTGTGAACTTGGCCCTGAAACTTAGCTCCTCTTTAAGACTGGGTTTCTTTGTCTGTAAAATGTGTATAACACTACACCTATCTTATAAGGGTGTTGTGAGGATTCAGCGATATGTGTATAAGGTATTTAGTACACTGTCTGGCACAACTGAACTCTCAAAAATGTTAGCTACGATATCATTTAAGACCAAGCAGTCAGACACAAACAAAACTCTACAGACCCAAATCCCAATCAGAGCTGCATTTACCTTGAAAAGGATATGGAAAGCAAAGCCCAACATTCATGAGAGCCAGCAAGAACTAAGCAGACAGACCCCAGGTCCAAGACACAGACTGTACTCAACTTGGGAGCATGCTTCCTGGGTGAGGGGAGTCAGACAGAGTGCCCAGGTATGCCAGGAGACGTGGCAAAATCAAGACAAGAGCAAGGACAGATCTACAGGATAAGAACAAACAGGAAATCTGACTCAGGTCCTGCAGCCAGAACCCAAGAATAGAATTTTAAGGAGATCAAGAATCCATGGGCTTCTTTTAGAAAGTTTTAGGAAGCTCAGTGTGTCCAAGAACAATCACAAAGGGAAAGAAGAGAAACTTGAAATCCCCAGAGAATTTCCTCTTGAAGAGCCAAACCAGAGTCCCCCAGAGCCATTCATGTACTTACATGTCAGTGCAGCAGCCTGGCAGGCTGCTCTTATTTCAGCCCAACAGAAAGTCCAATAATCAACGCTAAAATGCCCAGCAACACAACTACCACCACAATGATAATTATCAATTTCTGGAGAGAGGAATAAGATAAACAAAAAACAAATCATTATTACAGACAGCCAGAAAACAACTCATCCAAAACCCAACCCTCTCACCTTTATCTATATAGAAGGCATCTTATCAATCCAAACAAAAGGCCAACATCTCTCCATGAAGATGTTCTTTTAGGATATTTTACACTTCCTGAATGTCTTCTAGGCAAGCAATGCCAGCAGATACAAATATGGGACTCCTATGAACTATTGGCTGCAGTTTTGCAGATGTGTACAGCTAGAGTAAGAACCACTATTGTGGGGTCTTCAAGCAGCAATTGGCCAAGATATAGAACGACTAATTTTTTCTTCCTAAGAGGGAGCGCAAAGACATTTTTGACCTAGTCCTAATTTCCAACTTCTGCCCATCTCTCTCCCCTGTCGAACAGACCCAGTATGCTGCTCAGTGACAGAAAGAACAATGCAGCCTGGATTTAACATGTAAAATTACTTTCCAGCCCCCTAAGTCCCTGCATAAGCAACAGGTAAAGTTAGAAGAAAAGCAAGGAACTAAAGAACAAAAATATCAGAGCCCAAGAGAAACAGTCAAAGAAGTCTATAAAGCAGAAGCCACCAGAGCTGGAGTCCCCCAGTCAACGAGCTCTGACATCCTCAAGCAGCTAGGGCACTGGATGAGTGGGCAAACACAGTGATGTTGTAGGAGAAGCCTGACTGGGATCCACACTTGAATCCCAGCGCCACTACTTACTAGGTGGCCTGAAGCCAGTTACTGAACCTCTGACCTTCAACTGTTACACCTACAAAGTAGAAATAACAAGTGCTCCATAAGGGATAAGGTAATGTTTACATAGCAGTTAGCACAGTGCTAGGTACAAGGTGGACAAAAAAAGAAGGGAGCAGAGCTTGGGCTCCTGGAGTAGAAGAGAATGAAGAGAAGGTTTCTGAAGACCAGGGGAGCCAAACCTAATGTCTGAGAGGTTCATTAGCAGCAATGCCTGGAGCCAGGAATCCATCCTACAGAATGGCCTTTGAAGTGTGGGTTCTTGGGGGGAGAGTATGTGAGCCAGATCCATCCATGCAAGGCACACCCGGGAAGGAAGGGCTGGCAGCTAGTGTCTAGGAAAGGCTGAGATTGGGGGCCGGATGAGGCCAGGATAGGGAGGGAGGCATGGGCTCAAGGACATGGGCAGGGATGGCCAGGGAGAGGAGATGGTCAGGGAGACCAGCTGAGACTGAGGTGCTCACCCTTCGGGCTTCACTCTGATACTTGACAGCTTTTTTGGTGTCTGCCACGGCCCGTTCCACGAAGCCCACTGACTGGTCCATGTTGTTCTCAATACGGTCAATCATGGCTCCCTTTCCCCGGATGCAAGAGGTAGTGGCAGCAGAAACAGAAATAGGGAGAGGGAGGAGAGAAAGCGCGAGAGACAGCAAACAAAATGGACTCTCTTCTCTGGAGGCAACAGGAGAGTCTCACCTTCCGGGCCTGGCCCTGGTATTTCACAGCTTTTTTAGTTTCATCTCGTGCCTTTTCCACGTGGTCCACTGTGTGCATGACATTCAACTCTATGTTATCTAGCATCTCACCCTGCAAAGAACAGATGCTAGTCATACCTAATAACCCCACACCAGTATAGTCCTAGCTAATGTGGGGAAGGGATTCTCTTATAATCTTTGGTGCCAAGAGAAGCATCCAGAAACCTTGACACACAGCTTTCTGTAGGGCACCCTTTAAAGTTTTCACATGGTTCCCCAGTTCTGGGTGGTGGTGGGATAGTGGTCACTCATTTAAGGAGCATTCATTGGATTACTACTTCCCCTTGACTAGCACTCTGCTAGGCATCTGGAACATACTGTCTAGATGCGTGGTAACTACATATAAATATCCTCTGTGGGTATCCACCTCCTGTACTTTTTTTTTTTTAACTTATGAGAGAGGACCAAAAAAAGTCTGGAATTTATTTATAAAATATTGTATTTATTTTTACATGTTTAAACTTCAGTTACCTTCAATGTACTCTCCATTCGATACAATACACCTATCAAAACGCTTTTTCCACTGCTTAAAACAGTTTTTTAACTTGTCAGGTTTGATGCATTTTAGTGCTTCTGCTGATTTTTTGTTTTACCTCTTCCACATTGGAAAAACGTTTCCCTTTGAGGATTCTTTTCATCCAGAGAAACAAAAAAGTCATTCAGTGTGAGTTTGGGTGAATAGAGAGGGTAGGGCATGGGGTCATGCCATTTTTGGTGAAAAACTGCTGAACACTCAGCACAGTGTGGGCAGGTGCACTCATAAATCACTCATCATGAAACGTGCAAACATGTTCAAAGAATCTCAAAAAAAAAAAAATTCACTGAAGCTGAGCATAGCCTCTCACAATGCTTGCTGGTACACTGATACTGATAGGATCCTAGAACACTCACCTAGCAGGAGAAGCCTGTATTACAAGGAACCTGCCATCCAAAAGATAATTCCAGGTTTGGGCGGGGGGGGGGGTCCCCCACCTCATACACATATGGGGCAAAACCAACATAGGAATATCTCATGTTCTTAGGACATCACCAGAATGCTGGCCTCTACCTGGTCATTCAGACCTGAGCCAACTTCATTCAACCTGAACTGGTATGTTCACTAACTGTAGAATTGCACTTGGCACACAGTAGGTGCTCCATAATATTGGGGGTGGAGAACATCTGCTTTCTCTAAGAGCTCTTCTCAGGGCCTTTCAGTGACAGACATTGGGTTTACCCAAACCATTTGGTTATATCTTCCCCTCCACACAGTGATCTCTTCATATGATTCCCAACCACTTCCCAACTATGACTCCCTGGCAGGGAAGTCTGGTCATGCCAATTAATCTTAGACATCTTAGGATGGGGATTCTCCTCACCCCAGACCTTCCTCAGCCAAACCCCATCACTTTATGGCAGTCTGTAAACAGAGCAAGGCACTTACCACCACTCGAATCTCAAACCAGTTCCTCGGCAAGGCAGTGTGAGGGAAAAAGAAGAGTGGGGATGGAGGGCTTGAGAAATGGTCTCAGAGGCCAGAAAGGGGGTGGGGAAAAGGCACCTGGGCCCTGAGCAAGGAACCGATGTCAGAAACCAGCCAAGCCATGCTCGGGCTTCCACAGGCTTGTGCAGTCTGCTCATGGAAGCCGTTTTCCATCCTATCCAGGAAGTTCATGGCAAGAGTGCACAGCACTATGACACTGGCACATTTAACTGTTTCACAAGAACTATGAGCCATCTGACTATGAGAAACTAGCACCCTATGCAGGCAACAGGGAGTTCCATCCTGAGCAGGCATGCCTAGGTGCTGTCCAACTAAGCACCCAAAGTGTTTCCAGTCTTTCTGTAAATATTTTACTATTCCTTTATTCATATTGTCATCTGCTCTGTTCCTGAGCGAAAGATGCCAAAAGTTTTAGCAAAATACATACAGGAGAAAAAATAAACATGAAAACAACAACAACAACAAAAAACCCCACTTCTGTTAAACCTCATTTTCATTATCAACTGAAGAAAACATGACATGCTTTCAATTTCAGTGACAGTCCAAGTCAGGAGATTGTTTTAAGGCACCATCATTAAGAACCCCTATCTCTAAAAAACAAAAAGAAAAGAAGAAAGACAGATCCCAGGGTTGAGGGAGCTCGGTACTTGATAGAGCACATCAAATCCAGCAGTAACTAGAAATAACTGCAAGGCTGAAGGAACAGGCAAGATGACAAGGCTGAAGCTGTCCAGTGTCAGTGTCAGTGTTCGGTAAGAATGAACACTTTCTGGGGATCCTGGGATTCCATTAACTGTGATGCTCATTCCAATGGTTCTCCCACCCTACCTTACCTGGCTTCCAGTGTTCCCTTCCTCCCCGTTGTCAGGAGACCCTGAGCTTTCCTCTCCTCCCTCCCCATGCTGCGACTCACAGTCGGTTACCTGATTCTCCACCAGCATGGCAATATCCATAAACATGTCGTGAAGCTCCTTGATGCTGCTCTCCAGCCTCACGATGTCCTTGTGCCGTCCCTCGATCTCACTGAGGGCTTGCTTAGAAATCTGGGAGTCGATGATCTATAACAGGCCACCCACAGACAGACCATCAGCCACCCCTGCAAGCAAGGTGGCTCCTATGCGACCCTCACACGTGCTTCCATCAAGCTCCTTGCCTCCCCCACCTCCATGCGCCTGCGGGTCCCATTCTACCAGCTGAGTTGTAGGAAGCTCTTCAGTGGCCTCCCTGTGGGTGCCGCTGTGCGATGGCGTGCCTTCCCAGCATCTGGGGCACTCACCCCAGAAGTGAAGATGGCAGGGTTGCCGCTCTCCAACATCTCTTCCAGCTCCTCATCTGTTGTCTTTTTCCCAGCTTTATAAAAAAAGAAGTAGGGAGTCAAATATAAGATCAAAGTGCAATACCGTTTGAAAAGTACCATGAAAATGAGGAATATGGTGACTCTACTAAAAAGAACACGTCTGGTTGGATGCAGTGGCTCCTGCCTATAATCTCAGCCCTTTGGGAAATCAAGGTGGGAAGATTGCTTGAGTCCAGGAGTTTGAGAGCAGCTTGGGCAACATAGCGAGACCCCATCTCTACAGAAAAAAAAAAATAAAAATAAGCCAGCGTGATGGAGCATGCCTGTAGTCCTAACTACTTGAGGTGGAAGCATCACTTGAGCCCAGGAGGTTCGAGGCTGAGGTGAGCCAGGATTATGCCACTGCACTCCAGCCTAGGCAACAGAGTGAGAACCTAACTTCAATCAATCAATCAATCAATCCATCAATCAATCAATCCTGTGGTCTTGACAGTACTTCCCCAACTTGGCAACAGAGTGAGACTCAACTCAATAAATAAATAAATACCATGGCTTTGCCAGCACTCCCCCAACTGCCTCCTGACTTTCTTCTTTTTTTTCCCCTGATCCAGTCCACCCTTATTAACCTTCCTAAAACACGTCCCTACTTACATTATTTCCCATCTCAGAGTATTTACCAACCCTAGTCACTGTGCCATGGAGTTCAAGGCCTCATAATAATATGCCAGTTTACTGGCCGAGGCCTCCCTTAATCCCTCTTAACCTTACACTACTCAAATGCACCCTTTCCCCAGACCCCAGAGAACCCGCCGCTCCTAAACATATGTGCTCTTTCCTGATTACATCCTTGTCTTATAGTTCCTCCCACCTGAAGCACATCCTACCCTGCATGGCCCTGCCTTCTGCACTATTAAGTTCCTAATTGGGGTCAAACATAGTGGCTCATGCCTGTAACCCCAACACTCTGGGAGGCCAAGGAGGGAGGATTGTTTGAGCCTAGGAGTTTCAAGATCAGCTTGGGCAATATAGCGAGACCTCATCTCTACAAAAATAAAAAAATCAGCAGAGCATGGTGGTGCACGCCTATAGTCCCTGCTACTCAGGAGACTGAAGCAGAAGGGTCACCTGAAGCCAGGAGGTTGAGGCTGTGGTGAGCCATAATCATGCCACTACACTCCAACAGAGCAAGACCCCGACTCAAAAAAACAAGAAATTCCTAAAGGGCACGGCTTATTCATTTTGCTATTCCTCACAGCAACTAGCACCACCCCTTTTATTTCATAAATGTGCTTTGTGGTCAGACAACAAAGATGTAATAAGTCCCCAGGAGAGCAACTGTTTATCAGTGTTCCCTTTATGTATGAGGAAATGCTGGATCTCACAGGAATAAAATTACTCGAGCCTATTAAACATAGTGTCACCTTTCAGCTTGAAGCTTGGCATTCAGAATGTGCCAGTTCTGTAACATCTGCACTGGGCTTGGGCACATGGAAGCCACAAGCAGGGTGGCTGCTTGTTCTTCCTGGACCTCACAACTTGGGATGGACAACCACAGAAAAAGGTGACGGGCACACACTAAATCTCCAATACGTACTAATTTCAAGCTGCCGCTGGATCCGCCCTTTGCTGCGCTCACGGAAGTCAACCTGAGCTTCATTGTATTTGGTCATCACCTCTACAAACTTGCGGGAGAGGACGGAGTGCTGTGGAGACAATGTAAAATGAAGTCACCCCCAGGAGGCGAGGGAAGGGGAAGGCCCCCAAATGTTATAGACTCCCTCCCTGTCCCCACAGAGCTGCCTGCGGCAGCCCTGGACTAAAAATCCAAAGACCAGGTATCAGCCCAACTTTTTGGTTTTCTAACTAGGCACCACTGCCTGGGCACACAGCTGGGAAACCAAAGCACGGTTTCAGTATCTATGTACCTGCCCTGCTGGCCTCACAGACAATTGTGAGGCCAAAGGAGATCATGTCTGAATCTCTGAGCCCTGCATCCATATGGACCAGAAGCATTTTTCTGGCCTAACCCTTGCCTTGCTTTCCATAGTTGTCACACTCCCTCCCCATGGTGATATTTGCCAAAGATCCTAGGGTGTTCTTACCCTAACCGCCCCCCAGCTCTACCTGCTTATAACAGATGCATTCACTCAACAGCCCTGGGTGCCTAAGCTCAAACCTTCATAATAATCATTTTTGTTCCTTGCCCATCACTCAGCATCAAGTCCTGCTCATGTCTCCTTTGCAAAGTATAAATGTCTCCATGTTTATACTTTTTTCCAAACCCACTACCACCATGCAAATTCAGGCCAAAATTTTTTGCAAAATCTTAACTAGAAGCCTCCTGCCTTCTTTCCACTTGTGTCCTGTTCCCAAACAGCTACCATAATGCCTTCCTCTTGTACTGTGGCCCGAAGCAAATGCCTACAGGCTGTGCATCAGACCCAAATTCCCTAGACTGGCACTCAGAGACCTCTGGGCTGTAGCACTACATTATATACCAACAATTCTGTGTCCACCATCCCACAGCAAACTTTTTTCTCTAGACAGGCTATTCATATCTGCCCCTCACTCCCATCCCCCCTCCCCGCAGACTCATTGCTGCCAACACACACACACACAGACACACACACACAACACATGCACACATACACACACATCCCACTCCTAGCCCCATGCCTCTCAGAGAGGGAAAACTATTTCCTGAGACTGCCCGTGTTGGCACTCTGACCCAGCCTTCTCTGACTACCCCCAGTCGTTCTTGAGATCTTTGAATGCTGAGAGTGCCAAGTGTTTGACTAAGTCTTCTTACACGATCCTCCTACTGGGTCCTACATAATAGTTTCCTATGCCCTTGAATGTCATACCAGTTCTTCAAGGACAAGGATCATACTTTTCATGGCTCCTAAAATGCCTAGCTCCAAACCGAACAACTAATGACACTCTTTAGAGAGAAGACAATTTTCTCTCCTATAAAACAGGGAGGCACACTAAATCTTGAGCTGTGCCCTGGGAAGCCTGACATTGTTCTTTAGGGACCTCCTGAGAGAAGAGGAGTGTGACAAGTTCCTCAAATTGCGTTCCTAATAAGAACTGAATTAAAAAAAAAAAAAGACATCACAGCAAAGGTGTACAAAAAAAGACTGGGTGAGATGATCATTAGACTAGGAAGAACCTTACCTGGGATTTCCGAATCCGAAGGTCTGCCGATGACCGGACCTCATCTTCTTCAATATGCTTCTCCATGCCTGAAGAGGAGAGGAAGGTTACTTGAGCAATGCACCTGCTCCTCCTTCCAAGAAACACACTGCTCAGTGAAACCTCCTTGCTCATTCTGATACCCAGCCCATGGAGATGTAGCCTCAAGAACTCATCTCACAAGTGAGCGATGGGATGTCCATTACACAACCTTTACTATGACCAGGTCTTGGCATAGTTGTCAACAGCATGGAAACAGGTAATCAAGAGACTTAGGCTCAAATCCTTTGTGTGACTTTGTGAAGACCATTTAACCTCTCTTAGTGTTACTGTTCTTGCATATGTAAAATGGGATAAATAACTATCTCCTTCACAATAACGTGGAGATTAAATGACAATGCACATGAAGTGGCAGGTACACAGTCATTGGTATTATTGGGAGCTGCTACCACGGACCCCCTCCCACTCCTGTTAAAATAGTTATTTCCATTTATTTTGGGGAAAGAAATGATAAATTAGACTGAACAACACTGCTTTGTCCTCTGACAAATATCATGTATTTAGCAGATACACTGGGCAAAAATGCAGACTACAGTCACAGAACAAGGTAAATCTTTTGGGGCCCCAGGAGAATTAAATCTACAACAGTAGTCTCAGTGAACTCTACTCTCTACAGTGGGGGGAAGAGCACATGGAAGGGTAATGAACTTAGCCCACCAAGAAACCACTACAGACTGAATGATACATCTTGCATCTTTGTATCCCTAAAATTATTCAAATATATGTAGGAGCTGGGGAACTAGGACTGAAAAGAAAAGCTGAGGGATCAAGTTAAAGGAACAAGTCACACAACTCCTCAGCAGTGGAAGGCACATTTTAATTCTCATCTCCTAACTTCAATTCTGTACTCTATCTACTAGAGACAGGATTCAAGAGAAGGTTAATTTCTGGAGCTACCATAGGTCATTGCAGGGACAATGCCCAAACCACAGGGAGAGATGGAACAAGTGAGGTCACTTCCATCAGGATGAGTTTCGCTTCAGAAGGGGGCACCCTTGGGAACTGAGATGGATGGTAGTGGGGGCTGGCTTGTTCCCTTTGTTCCCGTCTTACTCTTCAGCTTGTTCCGGACATTGTTGGCCCTTTTCTTGATCTCCGTTGTGAGTTGCTCTAGATCATCCTTGGTTTCTGGGTAAACAAAGGCAAAGAGAATCAGTTAGAAAGGACAGAACTGCTCTGTGAGCTTAAACAATTGACAGAGGAGGTGGGGAGCTTTCTCCACACCTACTGCCTAGAGCAGTATTTACTGCAGCGTGCTCTCCAGAATGTGTCATCAGCATCACAGAGAGCATATTTTATAAAGGTATTTTCCAGGCACCCCATTCCAGACCTACAGAATAAAAACACCCAGTCAAAGCCTTAGAATCAGTTTTTTAACAGGCCTTCCATGTAGTTCTCCAGCACACAAAATTTTAAGAATTTTGCTTTTAGAGAAAACAACCTGGTTTACCATGGGGGTGTCAGCTCAGAAGGTTGGAGAAGATTCTAGAGGACTTGCGAGGAAAAGAAGCTAAGGCTCAGCAACTTAGAATGAAGCAAATATTCATGAGATACCTACTGCTGTCCTAGGTTGTAGGGAGGTAAGTAAGTATTAGGTACGCCCATTCATTGAAAAACCATCCTTCAGCCCCCTACCCCAAGCTTGGAACTAAACTAGAGAAATCAGAGAAGGCATAGACTCTACCTTCAAGTTGTTCAGAGTCTAGCAGGGGACACAGGAGAAATAAATCAGCAGTCCTAATACACAGTGTGAGGTAAGGTATGAGTTCTGGTCAAGGTATGCAAGGGGTGGTTATGAAGAGTCCCCGGCATTGCCTGGAAGGATCCAGAAAACTTCTACAGACAGTTAGTAGGATTGAGTCTCACAGGAGAATGAAGAGTGACGCAGTTTGAGAAGGAGACTAAGAATGGGAGTCTCAGGAGAAGAAACATGGGAAAGGCATGAGGGAACAAGAAGCATCTGGGGAACAGCTGGAGTTGGTCTGGTTAAAATGTGGGTAGCATGAGGAGGGTGGCAGGAGACTGGGTGGCTGGGAAGGCAGAAATGTGACCAAGACAATCCCCACATGCTCTGCTGCAGTGTTTCTTCTTCAATCTTTAGGTAACAGAGAGTCACAGAAAAAAAGAGGGTGGAATGGCAATATGAAGCTTGTCCTCATTCTTAAGGAACATCTAGCCCAGAATGCTACTCCAAAAAATGTGAAACAATTGGGGGGTGGGTGTTTTCCTAAACAGGAGTTTAGGCATGGGAGGGATTTCTGCGAACTTGAACCATTTTGGAGCATCTGACAGGAAAAAAAAATGGACTTGGCCTGGAAAGATCTGGAAAGGGGACTAGGAAAAGCATCTCAGGTTGGGGAAATAGTACAAGCAAAGGAACAAAGGTAGGACAGAGCATAGGTGTGTAGGAATCAGTAAGAGTCACTGCTGATCGGGAGAGGGACCAGTTGAGCAGTAGAGGAAAGTCAGGTCAAATGGTTCCAGTGGGACCACGAAGAGAGAAGCTGAGTGGCCAGGCAGTGGGAGTTCAGAGAAGGTGAAAGTGACAGGGAAGTGATATGATGTGTACGTGAGTGCAATGTCATGTGTACACGCCCCTACTGTGCACAGAGGGGAGGAACACAGGCTGCTTGGCCCTAGTGCCAAGGGTCATTGTTGGGTGACTTGGCTCTGAGTAAACACTCACTTGGCTCTGGAATTGGTGCAGAGAGGATGATACTGTAGAGTTTTCTTGCCTCCTCCACATGCTCTGAGATCTTGTCAATGTTGAGCCGAGTCTCCTCAATCTACAATCAGAAAGACAATGACCTTCATCATCAGAGAGGAAGAATGTGTCCACGGCTGAGACACAAGCCCAGCAGAGCTCCCTGGTGAACACTGCCCACCTTCTGGGTTTGTGGAAGAAGATGATGACTTCAAGTCCTCAGCTGCCCAGTGAGTGCCCTTTCCACTATCAGGAAAACTAATCTTAAGAGAGCAGTCATTAAAAAGCCACGCTCATTGCTTCATCAGAGGAATACATTTGCCCACACTGGGTGGAAGGATTCAGGCTAGAGTCAAGAAGAGTCAGGAAAACCCATGGAGAATAATCAGACTGGAGGGTCAGCAAACCTTGTCAGGCAGATCCTTCAGCCCCAAAAAGCAAGAACTGAAGAGAATGAGGATGGGGGAAAGAAAGAAAGGAAAAAAAAGTGAAAGAAAGAGAACAGATCTAGGAGTTAAAACACAGAAAGAAGAATGAGAGAAAGAGAAAGAAACAGATGTAGAAGACAGAGGGAGTAGGGAGAGACTAAGCAGTGACTGCCCAGCTGATAGCCTGAGCTCCTCCAGGGCATGTGTTCTGGGAAGAGGCTTAACAGTGGATTCTCTTAGATGACCAGGACCCAGAAACCAGAGCAATGTGCCCTTTCTGCATATGCCCTAGGTTCATGACTGCACAGAGTGGAATCCTGTTTCCAGCAGCACTTCCTTCCTGGATAGCACACCATCCCCAGGCACTGCTGCAGGAGCAAGAGGTGCAACCTCAGCCCCCCTTTCCTGTGGTGGGAGCCTGCATAGAGGGCACCCCACGGGAAGATGGAACCTCAACACTGCAGCATGTACCCACTCACTCCAAATTGCAAGGCACCCACACTGAAGCAACACACATGCCATTCAGCAGGTCCCTAACATCTGAGATGCCAGAAAAATGCCGCTGAATGCATATGCCATTTCCAGCATCCCTTTACAACAGTGGGCGATTCGTCTTTTTTTAAAAACCAGATTACAGCTCTCCAAATTGAACAGAATATAGGAGAACTATAACTTGAGCTCTCTAAGCTTCAAATTAACATTTGTGCCACTGGAGCAAGGGATCTCCCCCATAAATACATTGGCTTGGATATGCCAGAGTTTGAGAGTAGAATCACTTGCTTAAACATGCAGACTAAATTCAATGTAATAGCATCATTGGAATATAAATATACATAAGGATAACTACCCAAATACTTGTGAATCATTTTAACCATTGGCAAAACAACACACCATGCAACTCTATAGGACTGAATTAATACCATTACTCAAATGCAGAAACTAGAGTTGAAAGAAGTCATAGTCACACAGCTGGTGGTAGGGCCAGCACTCACACAGGGTCCTCCAGACTCTAACGAGGACGCTTTTTCCATCAGATCCATGACTTAATTTTTCAAACTCTCTGTACTTTTCCACTTTTGGCAGAATCCTAAGCCTACCCAACTGCAAAAAAGGGCTTGTGGTACCACCTATGAATACTCAATCTCTAGAGGCATGGCCACCTCAGAATCTGGCCTCTGGATAACTCAGAAGTTGCCACCTTTCCCCTCCTTTCCCCACTGACTCTCACATCCAACACTGTCCCCTCTTACAACTCATAAAATGCCATTGTGTCACACCATGCTTCCACTTTTATCACCTGTCTTGCAAACTAAGTATACTGTTGTACAGGACTCAGAGGGAAAAGAAGAAAGGCTCTTCCAGAATCAAGAACACTAAACATTTTTAAATGAGTTTAACACATTTTAGCAAGTCATAACAGAAAGATTTTGCATGTTCAGTGGACAGGTTATCTTATAAATTCTACTTTGGAAAGTTATCTGATAAACTAAAGACCATCCTGATCCAAAGTTTGGTCCATGGCAGAAAGGCAGGAGGAGGCGAGAAGTTGCTAGGATGAGTCTGCCCCATCTCCAGCTCAGCATCACTCCAGACACTTGGAGACCCGGTGGTCGATGCTCACCTGGCCCCGAGCACAGGAGAACTGGGTCTCCAGCTCAGCACCATTCCAGGCACTTGGAGACCAGACGTGAGACGCTTACCTGACCCTGTACACATGAGAACTAGGCCTGAAGCTCTGCATCATTCCAGGCACTTGGAGACCAGGTGGCAGATGCTCACCTGGTCCTGTGCACCGGAGTAGTGGGCCTCGAGCATCCACCCACCTCACCACTTGGGGACTGGGTGGTGATGCTCACCTGACCCTGTGCACAGAAGAACTGGACCTGAAGCTCAGCATCATTTCAGGGACTCGGGGACCAGGTGGTTGATGCTCACTTAGTCCTCTGCAGAGGAGAACTGGGTCTCCAGCTCAGCACCATTCCAGGCACTTGGAGACCAGATGGCAGATGCTCATCTGACCCTGTGCACAGGAGAACTGGGCCTTGAGTACAGCATCACTCCAGATATTTGGGGACTGGGTGGTAGATGTTCACCTGACCCTATGCACAGGGTCCTGGGTGCTCTATCTTCAGTCTGCCTAGAGGACTTCCCAAGCCCAGGGAGCACTCCACTCCCACCTCCACCTATTGTAGCTGTTTTCTTTCCTCTGTCCTTATTAAGCTCACCCATCTGAAAGTATTTCAGGGACTTTGATTTCACAGCAATTTAGTCAGTTTGCCAAAAAACCACTTTAGGACTTCAAGACGGGCAACTGGCCAACCACAGAGCTTTCTTTATTTTTGAACTCTGTGTCTCTGCTTTCTCTTGGAAGTGTCAGTTTTCCTCAAAGGTGACTTTCTGAGTACTTCATCATGTAGCTGCATGGGATTTCCTTTTGTACATTTGCCAGATAACCAAAAAATCATGGGGGTGGTGGGGGTAGAAGGAAACCTTAGCAGGAAATTGACAGGTGTCCAATCTACAGCTTAAAGTCTATTTGAATGTTTGTTTGAGATTAAGTATACTGGCATTACTCTGCATGATCACACATTTAAGAACTAAAATTGATACAATATATACATGCATCAGAAAAAGTGCTAGGCCCTTCACAGTACTTCTGTGAGGCTACCATCACTATCTCTTTTGTACATGTGAGAACAGAAAAGCTCAAAGAGGTACAGGAACTTACTCTAGGTCATACCGCAGAAAGAGGCAAAACTGAGGTTTGAACCTAGACATCTGTTACATATTAAACCCTGTCTCCTGAACAGCATGCAAGAACCACCCACGGAAAGCTCATATATCTTCTTTCCCAAGTTTGTGTGTATTCAGCCTACATTAGATAATTAACATGCAAGTTCAACCCACTGTTTTGGGAGATTTATTCAGTTGCCTTTCACAGACATCATGCTTCTTATTGCTTTGTTCTCTAACCAAAACTCCCTGTAGAGAACTTTTAACACAATAAGCACTTAAGAAACAGTGTTGAAGGAGGGAACCAATATGAAAGTATTTTTTTAAGTCATCATGCTAAATTAGATAATTAACATGCAAGTTCAACCCACAGTTTTGGGAGATTTATTCAGTTGCCTTTCACAGACATCATGCTTCTTATTGCTTTGTTCTCTAACCAAAACTCCCTGTAGAGAACTTTTAACACAATAAGCACTTAAGAAACAGTGTTGAAGGAGGGAACCAATATGAAAGTATTTTTTTAAGTCATCATGCTAAATTTGCAGCTAATACATTCCTACTGATTGTACCTTGTTTTTTAGAATGTATTTTCCACTGATTTGTCATAGGGAATCCATATAACATAGGAATTTTTTTTTTTTTTTAGTCAGGGTCTCACCCTGTCACCCAAGTTGGAGTGCAGTAGCAAAATCATAGCTCGCTGTAGCCTCCAACTCCTGGATTCGAGTGATCCTCCTGCCTCAGCCTTCCAAGTAGTTGGAACTACAGGCACACGCTACCATGCCCGACTGATTTTTTGATTTATTGTAGCAATGAAGTCTCACCAAGTTGCCCAGGTGGGTCTTGAACCTGCGGGCTCAGGCAATCCACTCACCTCAGCCTCCCAAAGCGTGGGATTACAGGCTGAGCCCCTGAGCCCGGCTAACATAGGATTTAAAAAAGTAAGTTTGAATCAAATAAACCAAGTGAAGGTTCGGGTCCACATCTTAGAGTTTTATGAATTTGAGCAAGCCCTCAGCCTCCCTGAGCCCCAGTTCTTTCATCTGTGAAGTGAGGACTATCACAATTTCCACTTCCGAGTTTTTGTGAGGATTAAATGAGATCATGCGTGTCAGATGCTTTACATAAAGTACATGAGATCTGGCATATAGTATGTCTCTGAGACAAGCAAGTCCCATTCAATCCTTACAGCCCTCTTAATGTTAATAAACCACTCTGATGTCATCAGCAGCCACCCAAGGAAATCTAAGGACAGCAAGTCAACCACTCTTCATGTTGGGTGTTGCCAACTATAATTACCATGTTATACTACTCACCATCATCTAACTAAAAGGAGGGAGTGACTTTCAAGGCATGGATGGCCTCTTCTCCCTGGGTGTCATCGGCGAGTAGAATCTAATCAGACAATGGAAAGCAGAGAAAGTACTATTTTGTAGGACTGGCAGGTTGCTATGGGGTGAGGGGGAGGTAGAAGGCTAAGCAAAAAGCATTGCTTACTCTCCCTAAGAATTCTCTCTTCCTCCTCTCAACTCCCATGTACCTCTAGGTGGGCATTAATTCTTTCATATTTATTTATTGAAAATGTATAATGCCAACCTTCTGAGTGACAAAAGTAATGCGGTTCTAAAAGTCAAATAAATAATTCCTCCTTTTCACAATGTGTAACACCTTTACTTGTGCCCCAAAATCGCACAATCCCAAACAGCCCTCATATTAGAGCTTCTTGATCAAGTTCCCTTTGATTTGTTTGCTTCTTTGCTTTAGAAAACAAACACTGAAGAAAAGGAAGGAAAAAGTCACTTCAGTAGACAGGTGCAGTGGCTCACACCCATAATCCCAGCACTTTGGGAGGTAGAAGCGAGAGGACTATCTGAGCCCATAGATTTGAGACCAGCCTGGGCATCTTGGCGAGACTACATCT